TAACAGTGTCATGTGCATTACACCGATATCGTTGGCCGCTTTTTGTATCGCGAGACCTCGAGAGAAGGCGGCCGCAGGTAATAATTGGCTTTCTTTTGGCGGGCAACCGCGCCGATGTTTCTTGCGATATCGGCCTTGTTGTGAAGATGGCCCTTGCGGTTCGGGACTGGACCGTCGCGCTGCTGTTGCTGGTCTTTGTGAGCGACTACGTAGACAGATTGCTCCTCAACCTCTTCCTCGAGCCCATCGGGAACGAGTTCAGCATCTCCGACTTGCAACGAGGCATGCTTAGCACCGCATTCATGATCTTCCATGCTGGCGGTGCCTGGCCCATTGCAACACTCGTGGAGCGTGTGCCCAATCGCGCGCCCCTGCTGGCGTCATCGGTACTCGTGTGGACCATATTCAGTGCAGCAACTGGTGCGTGCATGAACTATCCTCAGCTTGTTGTCTGCCGTATAATGGTCGGCATTGGTGAGGCAGTAGTCACCCCTGTGGCGCAGTCGCTGTTGTGTGATCTTTACGAACCGCACGAGAGGTCCACCCCACTTGGATACTATCTTGCCGGCATCCCGCTCGGTCAGCTCTTTGGTTACGTAGGTGGCGGCTTTGCGGCACAGCAGAGCTCGTGGCGCCTCGCGTTCTTGATGGTCAGTGCTCCAGGCATCGCCATTGCGGCCCTCGTACTTCACGCCCTCCATGAACCTCGCAAAGCCACCTTCGTCGCCACAATGCCCGCGGACCCGTCAGTGGCGAATGACGCGCAAACGCAAGGCGGTGGGTCACTTCGATACTTTCTGACCGCCATGACTGTCTCTCTATCTATCCCTGCGTGGGTGCTGATGCAATGCACACACCTTCTGGCTGCCGGAGCTCTACGCTCTGGGGAAGCGTTCACTGCATCTTTGCTCGCAAGGAGGTTCGGCCTGCCCGTATCAACGATTGGGAACGCCCTCGGTATCCTCGGCGGTATCAGTGGCATCGCTGCCATCTGGTGGGGATTTGTCGTCGATACCATCGGGCGTACCCTTGGCATGAGATACGCATTCGCACTCGCAGCATGCGGCGGTGCCATTGGCTCTGCTTGCGCGGCCATCGCATTTATCACGCGCGATCTGGGACGAGTCCTGGCTCTCGGGATCGTGAACGCCATTTGCTCCCCAGCTTGGCTCTCGCCGCTCTCTGCGGCGCTCCTGTACGCTGCTCCAACAGGCACTCGTGCTCTGGCGGCCTCAACCTCTTCTCTTGCCGCGGCCATTGGCGCGGCAATCGGCACGCCTTTGGTCGGTGGCCTCTCAGATGTCACGAGATGTGGCCATGCTAGCAGCAGCCGTAGTCGCGATGGCCCTCGCGATACGGGCCAAGTGGAATGTGACAGCATGCAAGATGTGAACGCGGATGCGCTCGGCCGTGCAATGTACTACGTGTGTGGCGTCCTTACCCTGCTGGCGCTCGGATGCTTTCTCATGGCGATCTGGCTTCTGCCCAGCGAGAGGGGCAGTACCTGTGGTCGTCGCTCAGAGGTTCATCAACTTCTTCACTGAGATGCAGCGTTTTATGATCATGCGGTGTTGGGTCTCAGTCATATACGATATAAAGACAAGTTTAGACAAGTTGGCCCACGAACCAGCGCCGCTGCCGACGGGCGACGGAGAGGCCGAGCCCGCGCCGTGAACGGACCGTGAATCTATGATACAGACGTGAAAATTGTGTAATGTGAATGAAGTCGACAAGTGTCTACGTAGTGTGCGGCTGCGGGGCGCGTGCGTAGCGCGTGGCTATGTGGGGTGTGAACCTCTGCTGGTGTCTGCTCACTGTTGTCTCTCCCCGTGTCCCTCCGTCTGGGTCGCGTTGGCATGCGCGCGTCGGAAAGAGCGACGGAGCTCCGCTCGCATCGCCGGACCCCGCTCCCCGGACGAGCGGACGTGAGAGCAAGAGCATGGACGTGAGGCCCACAGGCAGTATCAGGCTACAGGCAGGCAGGCCCCGTGTCCCTAAGCCTAACTAGATCGCTCGACGACGACGTAAACAGTTTAATTGCTACACCGCGTCCCAAGTTAGTTACCACAGCGTTGAAAGCACGAAAGTCGGAAGTAGCGCCGGCTTTAAGAACGCTCACGTCATCAACGCCCGGAATCCTCGGATCTTGCGACGCATTCCACTCATCTGAACGTCTGAGACTGCGTCTGCGAGTGCGATCACTGCCAGTGGCAAGTAGAACGTAGCAAAAAGTTTCGCCATGTTAGACTCTGGGCAGATGGCCATGCCAATGGTGGTCAACGTGATCGTGGCCCAGTAGAGGCCCTCGATAAGTCCAGAGACGTCGACGTAATCCAAGATGGCAAATACGGGTCCCAGGCCGAATCCGAGTGAATCGACGAACCATGTTGCATGTGTCAAGTGAACTAGCTAGCGAGGCCGTTGTGAGGCTCCCCCTCCATCCTACTCACATCCGATGGCCTCTCGCGGATTAGCGTGTAGAAGTGAAGCGCCATCCCTGTGAGCAACACCCCCACTGGACCGATGAGCGCGAGCGCGTACCGCCTATGATAATTTATCAGCTTATTGACCTCCTCCATGGTCAAGCTCGGATCGTTTGTGTCCACCTTGGCAGCACACAGCCGACGGCTGCCAGCAGCCTTTCCCGCCAGTCGCCACGAAGGAATGTCACAAGCGGCGAAAGTGCATCGAGCACGAGCGTAATGCCAATGAGGGCATAGACACAAAGTGAATGCTGCTTGCTAAGGTGGACGCTGGATGGAAGTCACCACAACCGACCGTGGTTGACGTAACCGTGAGAAAATACACCGTCTCAAGCGCAGACCACCCCTCGAGTAGATAGTAGACAAGGCAACCAAACCCACAGTAGAATCGTACAACAAAACTCCCTCGCACAGTAGAATACAGGCGTTCGAATCGAGGCTAGAAATGCGCAGATTACGTTGAACACATGAGCGATGAGCGGTCGTGAATGTGATGGCATCCTTGCGTGACACATGCGCTTCTTTCTTCAGGAGGGCATCACCCATCTCCGCTGCGAAGCGCTCAGCCTGCTCTCTTCACTTGATCATCCTTCGACTGCGCCGTCCGAGCTTGACCGCACCGGACTCGACTGTACCGGGCTCACTCTTTTCACTGGAATGTTTGGCGTGGCGCGCTGGCTTGGGCGGGTTAGCATTCGGCAGGTAGTACATGGGGCCGATGGGGGGGTGGGGTTGGCTTTGGGAAGAAGCTTGGTGGGCGTTGCTTGCATATGCGTCTGTGGCTACACTGAGCCTGGCTGTTCTTCACCTTCCTACCTCCAGTGGTCCTTTGCGTGTGCGCCTCTTCGCTTTCTTTTATTTGTGTGCCGGTGTGAGAGTGAGCGGCCAAAAAGGGCTGTGAGAGAGGCTTGTATTCTAAGGATTCTTTTATCTGGTACCTCTGTAATTCGCCGAGACCTAATCCCTCTGCCCACCCCCTCTGCCCCCCGAGTCGGGCGTAGGCCCCGACCCTCCCGCTCCCAACCCCGCCTCCCCTCTTTCACCGCGACACACCGGGCCAGCAAGCAGGAGCACACACACGCATGCGCGTCGCCGCAACGTGCCGCCTCTAGCGCGCTGGAGCAGCGGCGTGCTCAGCCGCCCTGCACTGCACGGAGGCCTGCTCCACAGCCTCGCGTGCTATGCGAGCAGCTCCATGCACTCCTGCACCTCGTCCTCGCTCTTGGCCGCGAGGATGCACAGCTCCAGCGGCGTGGGCGGGTCTCCCCCACCCTGCAGCGCGTCAAATCGCTCCATGCATTCGCGGACCCCGTCCTCCCCGTCCGCGTGCACAATGCACTCCTCCAGAGGGCTTGCACCGCTCAGGCTTGCACCGCTCAGCTCCTGAGTCCCGTCCTCCGCTGCTGCTGCGTCGTACTGCTCAATGCAAAGGGCCACACCGCCTTCGCCATCGGCATCGATGATACAACGCTCGAGCGCCGTGAGCGGCTCATCCCCGCCCGACTCAAGGTCAAATAGCTCAATACACTCCCTTACGCCGTCCTCGCCGTCAGCCTGCACGATACAATGCTCGAGCGACTCGAGGTCGGAGGAGACCGCGCCGGCAAAAGAGCCAGCGAGCGCGGTCATGCTGGGAGCAGCCGGCCTCCAGGCGAGGCGGGCCACCGCCCCGAAGGCGCACGGGGAAGAGCGCGGCTGTCATATACGGTACCGCTAGTTCCCGGGGCCAGGCGACTTTTTTTTTTTTTTTTTTTTTTTCCTTTTT